GTGGTCATGAGAAGTCACATGATGTCCAAGAAGGGTTAAACTGGAAAGCCTCCACGGCGTGAGCAACCTCGGAAGACATACACTGAGATGGAGACCAATCTTCAGCCTTGTCAGGTGTCATGTAATCATCTTTGGTATGAATCTGATTCTGATTCTGATGTTGATGGAAGCTAGTGGAGCAGGCAGAGAAGGTGGTGGTGGGGTAATCAAATCGGATCATGTGGGAACCGTCGTGATCGGAGGTGTCAAGAGGGAAAGTTGCATAGGCTTGGTTAAGCTGGCAAGTGTGGTGGCCGAAGTAAGTGGTTGAGTACAATGGAGGGTTGTGTTGGATCTTCTGAACCTGCTTCTTTGCTTGGCAGTTCTGGTCCTTTGTGTACGCACACTTGTAGTAACTCCTGTAGTGTTTTTTTCAGTAAAACCAGTAGTGTTTATAAAATAATCAATGTCAAAGAGATTGATTGATTGATGTACCTTTCGTGATCAGATTCTTTGATCTGCTTTTGACCGTATTTCCTCCAGAGATAGCCGTCGTGGTAGATCGGGTTTGCCGATTCGTGTCTCCGGTAGTCTGAGCTCTCTGCCATTGATGTCTTTCTGCAACGTAACCAACCACCGGGATCGTGATGATGAGCATCACTCAACACCATTATTATTATTATATATTGCAGATTTGAATATTTAAATAACCAACCGTACCTTCCCCTCTTGTGATGTGGTTTCTTGCGGCTCTCAAGAACAGGAGGAGAGTCCTGCTGGGGAGATGAGTTGAAATCGGATTGGTCGTCATTAGTATCGATCAAGATGGAAAGAGCATCTGAGAAACAATGGAGGACGGACTTAGCCAAATCCTCCGTAGTTTCCATGGGCGACGAACCGGCGTGGTCCATGATGAACTTGAGCTGGTTGGCGAAGCCTTGGCCGTGAAGGAGCGTATCCATAGCATTGGTTTGTTGGCAAGAATTCATCTTTTGATTTATTTGTGACTTTGGACTAATTAATGTTTTATTTGGAAGTCGTAAGGAGAGGGATGTGATGGGCACCTCTCTCTCTCTTTTATATATATATGTCTTTGCTGGATAGGTCGAGAAGATGAGATAAGGATGTCGTAAGGAAGTTTCGTATGTGTGATATTTACTATACTCTCTTTCTTCGGATATACTATTAGTCTATAACTACTAGTACTATTTTTTATGTATTTCCAATTAGAAAACGTGCTTATTTATGAATGGCCCTTTCATATAACCCCACGATATAAAGACAAAAAACATGTACTAGTTGACTTAACCAACCACTATTCATGATTGCCAAATATATTAGTTTGATAATTCTGTGTAAACGCATATCTAAGGAATCATGACTTTTTGGATCTCTGACTTGTTTCACTCCCCATTTCAGTAAATTGAGTCTCCAAATAATTAGAAACCAGGATGGAATATATCGTCCATCTTATAATGTAGGGGACTAGGGAAAAATTAATTCTAATAACCACACGATGAATTGGAATTTACTGGCCCGTGATTCTTCAAAATCATATGCTTAACAAAAGCGTATAAACCTAATAGCTCAGATCATAGATCTGATTTTTGTAAAATGTAATTTTCATTTATAATGATATAGATAGAGTTTACC